CGGGGATTGCCAACTGGTCAGCCGAGCTCGGCTGAGGAGTAAAATGTGTTGATGTTGTATTGAGCGCGTTGCTGACTTCTTGATCTTGCGACTGCGGCTGAGGAAGGAACACGCTTCGGCCTTCGGATTTTAGAGCCTGAAGACAAGGCTGCTAGTTCTGCGAAGTTTAATATTAAATTCGGCTCTCAAGATGCCGAATGTAGTAACCTGGTAACACATCACTTCGCCAAGAAGGCTAATGAGATAACCTCTGCCAATAAGGATTCAAAAATCCTTCTCGATCGAGACTTAGATAGATAACCAGTCGGCCTCGACGCAGTGCTGTTTATCCAAACTGAAGGTGTTCCGGGAACGGCTGATTCTACAACAGTAGTGTTGTTTATCCAAATGAAGATGTCACCGGTTGCCTTCACAGTGCTTGTAGACATCAAAATTTCGGTGAAATAAATGTTGACCAATAATTAAAATTTCAACGTTCACGTGTCACATAAATTTTACATGTAGCGTGTGATTCAACGAAAAATCGAAATAAATTGGAAAAGTCATCAAGTGTGACACGTGTCAATACCTGGCAGAAATGATTTATTTCATCTGATTATTTAAATCCAAAAATCAAGTTTTGGAATTCTATAAATAGGAGGCCAAGGCATTCATTTTGAAGGGGGAAGAAGAGAAAGAAGGAAGGAGAAGGAGAAAGGAAAAGAAGAAAAGAAGGAAGGAAGAAAGAAAGAAGCCTTGAAACTCTAAAGCTCTCAAGCAAATCCCGAAGGATCAAGAAAGCAATCTTCGTTCTTCGTCAAATCCACCTTCAAGATCAAGCCCCGACGGCCCTTGAAGAACTTCCACCAACTCAAGATCAAGCCCCGACGGCCCTTGAGGAAAGTGTTCATCGTTCATCATCCGTTCAATTCAAGATCAAGCCCCGACGGCCCTTGAAGAACTTCAAATCCTCCTTCAAGATCAAGCCCCGACGGCCTTTGAGGAAAGTGTTCATCGTTCATCATCCGTTCATCCTAAGTTCAAGCCCCAACGGCCCTTTGGATCAACAACCTCAACAAATCCACACTTCCAATCGTTCTTTAAGATTAAGCCCAAAAGCCCTTGAAGATCCGCTCATCCATCAACCTTCAAGATCAAGCCTCAACGGCCCTTGAAGAACTCCCACTAACTCAAGATCAAGCCCCGACGGCCCCTTGAAGAAAGTGTTCATCATTCATCACCCGTTCATCCTGAGATCAAGCCCCAACGGCCCTTTGGATCAACAACCTCAACAAACTCATACACCCATTCTTCAAGATCAAGCCCAACGCCCCTTGAAGATCCATTCATCAACTGTGCATCCTTAGATCAAGCCCCGACGGCCCTTTGGATCAACAACTCATCCACAAACCCACATCGTACGAAGATAGAATCAGAGGGTCAAATTACAAAGAGATTGTAACCCCAAAATCATTAATACAAAAATATATATTTTGTACACGTATTCTTGTCGCTTGTTTCAGGAAAAATTCGTGTTTACAAATTTGGCACGCCCGGTGGGACAATCTCTACCTCTCATCTCTATCCTCAAATCATCAAAAACGCAAATGGCATCAAGAAAGGATCAAGCTGTTCCTGCAATCAAAGCAAAGAACAAGAACATCATCGCCGCAAGTGGTGATATTTCGGGCATCATAACCCGAAGTAAGGCAAGAGATCTTTTTGCCGCGGCTTCCGCCCCTGCATTAACTCTGTCAAAGGAACAAGAGCACCTGAGGTACGAGCCTGTGATCACCCTAGCCTCGCTAAGGGCATCAAAAGGGGAGAGCCCAAGGAAATACTCAGAGTCCCTACTCTCCGACGCTGATTCAAGCGGCAGTACAACCATGCAAGTCATGACCACTGGAGCAACTTCAATCGAGGAGCAGCTAGCTCAGATGAATGAAGCAATCGCAAAGCTCACACGAACTGTGGAAGAGAAGGACTTGCAGATTGCCGCACTTGTCAACCAACTGGAGGCGCTGCCCGACGTGAAAGTCGACCCAATTGTTGGCCTATTAAAGAAAGAAGGCGACGAAGAAGAGGAGCCACCAGTGGAGAAAGTCGAAGAGAAGCCGAAGCTAGACCAAGCAACGACATCCATGGGATCTCTCTCTATCCAGCAGCTACAGGAGATGATCGCAAGCACTATCAAGACACAGTACGAAGGAAGCTCGCATGACTCTATACTGTACTCAAAGCCTTACTCCAAGAGGATTGATGCTTTGAAGATGCCAAGGGGTTATCAGCCCCCAAAATTCATGCAGTTCGATGGAAAAGGCAACCCGAAGCAACATGTCGCCCATTTCATTGAAACTTGCAACAATGCTGGGACAGAGGGAGACTACCTCGTCAAACAGTTCGTGCGTTCGCTGAAAAGTAACGCTTTTGACTGGTACACTGACCTCGAACCTGAGTCTATCAACAGTTGGGACCAGCTAGAAAAGGAATTCCTCAACCGCTTCTACAGCACTCGTCGTACTGTAAGCATGCTAGAATTGACCAGCACGAAACAGTGGAAAGATGAACCTGTCGTCAACTACATAAATAGATGGCGTTCTTTAAGTCTGGATTGCAAAGATCGGCTTTCTGAAACCTCTGCCATTGAGATGTGCGTTCAAGGCATGCAGTGGGGACTACACTACATCCTTCAAGGCATCAAACCACGAACATTTGAGGAGTTAGCCACCCGCGCCCATGATATGGAGTTAAGCATCACCCGTCATGGGAAGAAAGAACAGATCGCCGACTACAAGAATGACAAAGTTTTGGGGCCAAAGGTGGATAAGGCTACGTGGAAACCCACCAAGGAAGCAATGACGGTCAACACAACTCCAGTCAAAATCCCTACACGAAGCAAGGCGATTCAAACCGAAGCTTTTCGTGATCAAGAGACACGTAGACGCACTTTGAAGGAGCTTGAGGAGAAAACTTATCCATTCCCCGACTCTGACGTGGTTGCCATGTTGAAAGACTTGCTTGACAAAAAGGTGATCGACCTACCTGAGTGCAAACGGCCAGAAGATATGAACCGTACTGACAGTCCAAGGTACTGCAAATTCCACCGCTTCATTAGTCATCCGACGGAAAAGTGCTTTGTGCTAAAAGATCTCATCATGAAGTTGGCTCAGAAAGGGATCATCGAGCTAGATCTTAATGATGTGGTGAAGACAAACTATACCACCGTCACTTCTGGCTCTTTGAACTCAAAATCTTCACCTCAACCGCTGGGGGCATGCTCCAAAACCATGTCAGTCAAGTCAAGTGAAGTTGAAGGATGGACTTATGTCACTCCAAAGAAAATGCACAAGAAACATAGGCCTCCTCCACAAGTTCGCCAATCGGAAAGGGGGCAAAGTAGCTACCGTCAACCTTCAAAGCTACATGAAAGTATTGAGGATGATGAAGTTATGACACAAAGATCGTCCGTTGCCATCACAATGCGCGATTTCTTCCCCAAAGACTTCTTCAATCACTCAGTCAAGACTCCTTGCTATGAAGATCGCAAGGAATGCCCCTCTAAGATCATTTGACAAATTCACCAAAGCTCCTCGTTCGCACGAGCCTAAAAGGCGACAACCAAAGCTCCTTGCCCGCACGAGCATAAAAGGCGACAACAAACGCTCCTTGCCTGCATGAGCTGAAAATGCAAACGGCAACAAAACGCTCCTGGCCCGCAAGAGCATAAACTGTGTACGGCAAAATCATCATCAAAATCATCATCAAAATCATCATCAAAACCATCACCCATTTGAACTACGTTATGACTTGATCTCTTCTTTGGAAGAGTACGTAGGCAACTTGAAACTTCAAAACTTCAAGTACAGTCACATCAAAATAAATAAATAAATGTTTCATTAAAAAAGTCAATTTTATTACAAAAAAGAAAAAAAATACATATGTTACTATGTATTAAAAAGATATAAATATATATATTATCCACTTCAAGTACAGTCGCATCAAAATAAATAAATAAATGTTTCATTAAAAAAGTCAATTTTATTACAAAAAAGAAAAAAAATACATATGTTACTATGTATTAAAAAGATATAAATATATATATTGTCCACTTCAAAAAAAAAAAAAAAAAAGAAAAAAAAAAGAAAAAAAAAAAAAAAAAAAAAGGAAATATATACAATATATATACAAATCCAGACCCTCGCCAATTCCCCCTCCTTCTCTCTCTCCTCGCTTTCTTCTCTTTCTGCTCCGCCGAGATCCGATTCTCCTCGATTCGATCCGACTGGCGCCAAATCATCCCCTTCGACGAGTTCGGGTTCACCCACAAGGGCTGCCTGGAGCTCAACGTCTCCAAAATCGCCCTCACGGATCTTCCCAGCGGGGATCCGGACCTCTCCAAAGTCGGGTTCTTTCTCTGCACCCGCGACTCCTGGATCCACGACTTCCAGCAGCTCCACCGCCCTCACCGGTCATGGCATGAAGAACCGGCAGAGGTTCTAGCACAAGTAGGATGTGTACTACGGACCCAGAATATACCAGTAAACACTTTTGTGATCCCTGCGGAGCAAGTTAGTTCTTCACACGCACGGATTCAGATTCAGGTTATTCAATCTAATTCTCCACCATCATCCGCCAAGCTCTGGCCGCAGAAGGCATCGTGGACCTCAGAGCCGCCACCGAAGTCATCTGCTCAAGAACCCCATCTCAGACCCTTCACCCTCAAGTACCAGCTCCCCAGCGAGGACCTCGACAACGCTGATGTTCGAGACTTTGCCGTCGATTTGAACGCCAGCAGCTTCGATGCAGTCCCCTGCGACGGCCTTGCCAACCCAAATTCAACCCCTTTCTTTCTCTAGAGAGAGCTAGTGGTGCAGAAGGATAAGAACGAACCAAAGCAAGAGAAAAGAAAGTCCCAAAATTGAATGAGCCTTGGTTTGAGAAAGGCATGAAACTACTGCTATGGAGGTGGAGGAGATACAAGCCAGCAACAAGTTCCCAAGAATCGGAAACAGCCGCAGCCGATGCGGGCAACCATCTCCGCAGTTGGCACCACTTCCGCATCATCCGCCATAGCCAAAGCCCAAAACTCAAGCTTGCCCGGCGAATCCTCCAACAGTATCGTCTGCTTTGCGGGAGCCATATCCGAAAGCTTTTGTAGGTGCTTGCCTCTGTACCATTGAGTTCAAGTTGCCTCAGTTATCAGCTGCAAGATCGTACGGTCTTGGGCTGAAGTTTGAGCATGGAAAACTTCATAAAGGAGGAAGTATATTTGGAACTATCTTTGCTGCCAGTAGGAAGACCAGAGTAGAACCAACTTCTAGGAAGCGAGAAGCGTATCCCCACCAAACTCTACCTTCAAATGCATCGGCAAATTTCGTGTTCCCCGTCAGCCACAAATTCAACGGCCGTGACGGGCGGTCGTTGAGCGAGCTCAAAGCCCATGATTCCCTCCGCTGCGGCCGGATTCTCGCCGGCTCTGCTTCTGCGGTGGATGTACAGCTGGGCGGCAATGGCCGTCCGTCAGAGACCAGATTATACTTCGCCAAGCTCGGGATCGGCTCGCCGTCGAAGGACTATTTTGTCCAGGTGGATACAGGGAGTGACATCCTGTGGGTCAATTGCATCGACTGCACTAACTGTCCAACGAAAAGTGATATTGGCGTGAAGCTCACTTTGTATGATCCGAAAGGCTTTTCGAGTTCGAATGCTGTTACTTGTAATCAGGAGTTTTGCACGTCGAAATACAACGGTCAGCTTCCGGGCTGCCGGCCGGACTTGCTCTGCCAATACGACGTGACTTGTGGCGACGGAAGTGCGACGGCGGGATACTTTGTGAAGGACACTATTCAATTTGACAAGGGGACTAATGGCAGTGTTGTGTTTGGTTGCGGAGCTAAGCAATCAGGGCAGCTGGGCAAGTCATCCGAGGCGCTTGATGGGATTCTAGGATTCGGGCAGGCGAATTCGTCTGTGTTTTCCCAGCTGGCTACTTTCCGTTCCAAAAGAGCTATCAGCCTTCCGTGAAGGTGGAGGAGCACAACTTCTTTAGCAGTGAGGAGGCTTGTAGCTTCTTCTCCGATGAGCAAGCACCTTCACTTCAGTGGTACTGTCCTGATCAATGGTCTAAACCACCCTGTGAATTTCCAATCAAATCCAAGAGCTCTGCTCCCCTTTTTCTGCAACAAAAGTACATGAAGTCAGTAAGAGAGGTTAAGAGAAAGTAACAGAACACGACAAGGCACTTCTTCCTCTCCATCCATGCAGCTCCTCGCCTGCAAGGACCTCGAGCTCGTCATTCTGGCCACCTTGATCAAAATCAACGAAGAGCTTCATTGACCGCTGTCAAACGACTAGCCGGTCTTCAAACTCGACGCTTTGCACTACTTCAAGCTCTGGCTGCTTCTGCATCTCCGCCATGGCTGCTGCCTTTGAATGTGATCAACAAAATCAAAGTTTGTCAACTCACACCCAAAGATCTCGTCCGTTTGCTTGCCTCTGCTGCTGCCTTTGAATGTGATTGACAAAATCAAAGTTTGTCAACTCAAAGATCTCCTCCGTCTTCTCTCGGACTCGGCCTGGGTTTTCACCCACGAAACTCAGCCTTGCAGATGGCCTTATAAAGAAAAAAAAAAAAAAAAAAAAAAAAAAAAAGTAGCAATGATTATGCCGGGAAGCATATTTCAAAAGAATAATAAAAAAATAAAAAAAAAAAGCAACAATGATGATGCTGGAAGCATCTTTCAAAAGAATAATAAAAAAAAAAAAAAGAAAAAAAAAATATATATATGTATAATAAAAACAATGATTGTGTTTCTGGAACCATGTGAAAAAAAAATATATATATATATAATAAAAAGAAAGGAAAAAACAATGGTGGTGCTTCTGGCACCATCTGAAATATATATATATATATATATATATAAATGAATGGTGGATCAGTGCCACCGAAAGCAAACAAATGAATAAAAAAAAATTGATGATGGACAGTGATGTATATGTTTTATCAGTATTTAGCATAATACACTGAATAAAACGAAGCATGTTCATTGATTTTCGAGAAATTACAAGTGCGGAAAAAAAAAAAAAAAAAAAAAAAAAAGGAAGATGGACCCTTCACAAAGGTCGTTCACGTGAAGCCCCACTACTCGGCCAAACTCCAGGAGCGGGAAGCACCGAAGATAGATCATTCGAGGCCCCAATACTTGGTGGAACGCTTGATGACGCCGGAAAAATGTGCCTCTGGAAGAAAGACGCAAGCCTTTGACGGTCACTTTGAATGCGACCCTGAGATTCTTGCATCTCATCAAGCTTCCTCTTCATGCCCGACGAATAGTTATTTGCAAGCACATGCAAACTTCTATTCTCGTACTTAAGCTGTTTAATCTCCTGCTTAAGATCTTCCACCTCTGCCATCAATGATTCCACCTGACGGGATCGAGCAAGCAGGCGTTGGCCCATGTTGGACACAGAGCCCGCACACTGAACACTAAGAGCGAGGGACTCTTGAACGGCCAACTCATCGGACCGTCCTGACAGCAGCCTACTATCTTTTGGAGTAAGGAGGTTCCTAGCTACTATTGTAGCTGTTGTGGCGTCCTGCATCACGGAGTCTTCACCTGTAAGAGGACCGTTAGAAGATAAGAAAGAAGGACACCATACATTACCTTGAAGCGGCGCAACCGGATCACTGCTGAGACTCAATTCTAAGCTAAGGTTCGATGGGTTAGCCATTTTTCAAAGGTGTTAAAAGAGATGGGTGGATGAAGTTAAAACTCAAAAGGCCGGAGATGATTTTCAGGAATGAGCAATCTTCGAAGTGTGCATGTTAGAGGTGATCAATACCTCTATAAAAACGAAGAGGCGCTTGCTCAGAAATCGAAGGGCCGCTTGTTCAAAAGTGAAGAGACATCGCTCTGCAAATCTCAAAAGCTGGATTTTCCGGCGTAAGTTAGGCGACGCTTTCTCGGCTTTCCAGAAAACGCGTTCAACTTTGTCAAAAGATCTCCGACAAAGTTGAAAACACGTGGAGGCTGGCGACGCTTTCGCGGCTTTTCAGAGCACGGGTGCCACTTTGTCAAAAGATCACGTGGAGGTCATCATCGCAGCTACACATCTTTAGCTGACAAGCGCAAAGTTCGGCGACGCTTTCTCTGCTTTTCAGAAAACGCGTGCAGCTTTGTCAAAAGAGGCACTCGTTCAGAAATCGAAGAGGCGTCGTTCAGAAATCAAAGAGGCGTATTCAAAGATCGAAGAGTCATCACTATTTCAAAAAGCCGAATTTGCGGGATCAAAACGTTTGTCGACAAGGGTAAAAGAACAGTACCACCACTTGCTATTGGGAAATCCCTATATATGTCGACCTTCATCTTTTATGGCAAGGCAAACCTGCAAACAAGAAAAAAAAAATGCCCAACTCTTCCTCACCTCCGAGAGTACACTCCCAGCAAAGCATCTCAAAATGCTTAGTTTTCTTCCTCTCCGGGAATACCCTTGCAAACAAATGACACCAAGGCAAAAGTATCTCATATCATCAAGGGCGAAAGCAAAGGTATCTCATATCATGCTTTTCCCCTATCTTTTCCTTTGCCCTTGTTCTCACCTGCCAGGACAAGGACAGAGAAAGCAATATGTCGGAACCTCCACTCAAACTTGCGCTGCCACCAAGAAGTGATGGTCCATTCAAATGCAAGGTTTGCATTCAACTCCTGCATCAGGAACAAATAGTACAAGAGAAGATGCTAAACCTGCATAAGGAAATACCACTTCTGCAAAGGGGAGCAAGTAAGGCAAGTGAAAATGATGCATTGAAGCATGTGGAGACAAGCTACAACTGCATATGCTGAGCTATCCTCTGACCCTCTTCAATACGAATTGGAGAGATTGAACAAAGAAACAGAAAAAAAGGAGTAAGCTCAGACCTTCGGGGAAGACCAAAAGAATCCTGCTGCCCAGTTCAAGAGTAGCACAAAGGAAAATCAACGATAGGGGGAGACCAAAAGAATCCTCCAGCCCAGTTCAAGATCAAGCCTCGATGGCCCTTGAAGAAATCACAAGTCCGATTCAAAATCAAGTGTTCACCACCCTTGAATCAAATTCAACTCCAGATAAAAGGAGTAAGTTCAGACCTTCGGAGGAGACCAAAAGAATCCTCCATCCCAGTTCAAGATTAAGCCTGCGGAAAATCAACGATTGGAGGAAACCAGAAAATCTTCCAGTCAAGCTCAAGATCAAGCCTCGATGGTCCTTGAAGAAATTTCCAGCCCAATTCAAGATCAAGCCTCGACGGCCCTTGGGTTGACATCTACATTAAAGAACTTCAAAACGCATCTTCTACACGTGACAAGCACATGCCTACGACGCGCCTTGAAGTGGGGGCATTTGTAGACATCAAAATTTCGGTGAAATAAATGTTGACCAATAATTAAAATTTCAACGTTCACGTGTCACATAAATTTTACATGTAGCGTGTGATTCAACGAAAAATCGAAATAAATTGGAAAAGTCATCAAGTGTGACACGTGTCAATACCTGGCAGAAATGATTTATTTCATCTGATTATTTAAATCCAAAAATCAAGTTTTGGAATTCTATAAATAGGAGGCCAAGGCATTCATTTTGAAGGGGGAAGAAGAGAAAGAAGGAAGGAGAAGGAGAAAGGAAAAGAAGAAAAGAAGGAAGGAAGAAAGAAAGAAGCCTTGAAACTCTAAAGCTCTCAAGCAAATCCCGAAGGATCAAGAAAGCAATCTTCGTTCTTCGTCAAATCCACCTTCAAGATCAAGCCCCGACGGCCCTTGAAGAACTTCCACCAACTCAAGATCAAGCCCCGACGGCCCTTGAGGAAAGTGTTCATCGTTCATCATCCGTTCAATTCAAGATCAAGCCCCGACGGCCCTTGAAGAACTTCAAATCCTCCTTCAAGATCAAGCCCCGACGGTCTTTGAGGAAAGTGTTCATCGTTCATCATCCGTTCATCCTAAGTTCAAGCCCCAACGGCCCTTTGGATCAACAACCTCAACAAATCCACACTTCCAATCGTTCTTTAAGATTAAGCCCAAAAGCCCTTGAAGATCCGCTCATCCATCAACCTTCAAGATCAAGCCTCAACGGCCCTTGAAGAACTCCCACTAACTCAAGATCAAGCCTCGACGGCCCCTTGAAGAAAGTGTTCATCATTCATCACCCGTTCATCCTGAGATCAAGCCCCAACGGCCCTTTGGATCAACAACCTCAACAAACTCATACACCCATTCTTCAAGATCAAGCCCAACGCCCCTTGAAGATCCATTCATCAACTGTGCATCCTTAGATCAAGCCCCGACGGCCCTTTGGATCAACAACTCATCCACAAACCCACATCGTACGAAGATAGAATCAGAGGGTCAAATTACAAAGAGATTGTAACCCCAAAATCATTAATACAAAAATATATATTTTGTACACGTATTCTTGTCGCTTGTTTCAGGAAAAATTCGTGTTTACAGTGCTGTTTATCCAAATTGAACGGTTGTTGGCGAAAAAAGAAAAAAAAATCTCAAGATGTTTGAAAGGTTTGCGCAGGGCAGTTGTGTGTTGAATTGGAGGGGGCCCTTTACGTTATGTGTAGCTTTGTATTTATAATACCGAACCACATGATGGCCACCTTGTAGAGCCTTTGCCGTGAACAACAAATCACATCTTGATACTAAAGGATAATCAACCAATGTTTGATAATCATATTGAGCAATCCTTATCAACAAAATTCGCGGCATGCATGGTTGAACGAGTTCCCAATATTCATGCTGAGTGAATCTGGCTTCATAAAGTTCTTCATGCTGACTCATGGTATAAAAGCATATACTAATATGCTAAATCTTTTAGCATAAAAAACCAAAGGTGAATTATCTTATTGTTGTCATCTTATCATCACCATCATCCAAAAAGTCCTCGTGTTCCTTCATAACAACCTGATACAGTCCCACTTCAACTTCAGGTCTTGCATGCAATCCCTATTTCTCGTAGATGTGATAATGCATGCAATTGCATTA